AAAAAAAAAAAAAAAAAAAAAAAGAGTAAGAGAGGAGATCTGTGGCTTCCCTTGCTTGTTGATCTGCCCACTGCATAGGGTCGTGTGGCTGAGTGGCCTGGAGGGCAAGGTGTGGCCTGCTGGGGCCTCATCTGGAGGCTGGACCCTCTCTCCCCTGCCCCTTTCCCGTCTCATCCCTCTGGGCTGCCCTCTGTGCTTCCTCTTTGGACACTGACCTCCTTGCCTAGAAACCCAGGCATCCAGGGAAATCTGCCCTGAGGTGGGTGGTCAGGGGCTGGTGCCCTGGGGCCAAGAAGAAGTGAGCTGGCATACACTTGACATGGCCTGTACTGAGCCTTCCAAAAGGAGCACTGTCTCATCTCTGACCTATGCCCAGGGTGGGGAGGAAGCTGGGAGCCCTGGCTGGCAGGGCTCCGGCCTCTGCCCACCTGGGCCAAATCCTGGCCTGGGCACATCCGTCCTGCCTTGTCTTCTCCTGGGTTGGATCACAGGAATGAGGAGCCCATGGAAGGCAGCTCACTGCTGGGCTCCGGCAGCGGAGGTGCTTGAAGAACATTCAGGGAATTCCCTGGTGGTCCAGTGGTTAGGACTCCGTGCTCTCACTGCAGAGGGCCTGGTTTCGATCCCTGGTCAGGGAACTAAGATTCCACGAGCCGCGTGGTGCGGCCAAAAAAAGAGAGAACATTCATGCCGTGACATCACTGTCTTAAACTCGGCCTTACAGTCCAGGTATGGGGAATGGCTCCAGCCCCAAAAGGCCTCTGCAGGGAGGGGAAGAACAGTGTCTGCTGCCCACCAGCCTGCCTCCTGGCTGAGTTACAGGTTGTGGTGGGGCCTCCTGTAGGAACCTCCAATAGCCCACCGTTGGGGAAATACCAGGCCCTTCCCTGCAGGGTCTGCTCCCCTGACCCCCTGCAGCCTGGGCTTTCCCGCAGCAGCGTCCCGTAGCCTCCTGACCACAGGGCACTGGCTAAGGCCTCCCCTGCCCAGAGCCAAGCCCCGCCCCAGCCCCTCCTCTCCCCACAGCCCTGTCAGACCCTGCTGCCAAGGAAAACTGCATGATGCACCTGCTCCGCTCCCTGCCAGACCCCAACCTCATCACCTTCCTCTTCCTGCTGGAACACTTGAAAAGGTAATGGGGAGGGGCCCAGTCCAGGGGAGGGGGCAGGGAGCCAGGGCAGGCTTCAGCTGTGGGGAGGACACATCCGCTGAGGAACCCACATCCTCCGTGCCTCCAAGTGGGTGCTGGTATCTGCTGGGACACCATAGCAGGGTGAGAGTTTGCTCTTCAAACTCTTGTGTTCATTCTTCTGAGAAATATTTGGGTCCTAATGGCAACCTCAGATACTGGCTAGAGAATGCTTAGAAAGGCAGGGCTAGAGCCAAGGACTGTAGGTGGATTTTACAGTCAGTAGGTCATTCGGTCCACTTAGCATTTTTTAAACGGAGTAGGAGGGACAGCCTCGGGGTGCCTATTGTTCTGTTCTGTTAGGCACGTTGCATGTGCTGGATGCTCGGGTTGCGGGGTGGGGCGGGGTGTGTGTGTGTGTCAAAAAAAATCTGAAGCCCGCTGGTCTTGACCCACAGCTCATCGAACAGATAGGGAATCTGAGTCCCCAGCCCAGCAGGGACTTGACTGGGGTCAGCAGCAGCTCTGCCCTTAGAAGCCACATCTCCCAGATCCTCAACTACAGCCCTTCCGACCTTCTCTTCTGCCCCTTCCACAGTCAGGTCAAACCAACAGCTGCTCAAGTTACGCCTGCAGCAAAGTTCATACTGGAAGCTAGCCCTGACGGTGACCTTGCACTCACTTTTGAGTCCAGGATTGGTCCCAGGTGTGAGTGGGGAGGAAAAGTCCCCAGGTGTCCCTTAAGTCCATTTGCCACCCAGGACCAGGGAGCCCCTGGTGAGGGGCCGTGAGCCCTCAGGCCCAGGCTCCCAGTGGCGGCTCGGCCACCAGGCCAGGCCATGCTCTGGAGGGCCAGAGACCTGGGAACGCCTGGGCTGCTGTCTTGTTTTTCCCATTATGAGACATTTTCCCTCTGGTTTGGCCAGGACCAAAGTCCCAACCAATTCCCAAATAGTTTGGCGAGCACTGTGGGGAGGACACACAGAGGAGGAATGGGAAGGAAAATTCATTAGGTTTTCCACCCTGGGAACCGGGCACACTCTGTTCCCACATCTGGGCCCTGGCCGGGGTGTGTGTTTGTGTGTGTGTGTGTTGTGGTGAGGGGCTGGGCCAGCTGCACAGCTGCCTCCTGGCATGGCAGTGTTTTTCTGCCTGTTTCCAAAGCAGTCAGCAGGCGCATCCATGGCTCCAGCCTGGAGGGTGGAGTGACGGTGTAGTGGGAGTGGGGCGAGGGGCGCTGTTCAGGGTGGCTGGGTCTCAGCCCCAGAAACATTGCTTGGGACTGGGGGAGGCACAGGGCCTCTCTGATGAGTTGGCTGGTACTGAGCCTGCTGGACACCAGCCACAGATGGCAGCCCCTGCTGTCAACTCGGGAAATATCTACAGAGCATCTGGCTTATTATGCAAGAGAAGCAGAGGAAGATCCAAAGGGAGGCAGCTCTGGAGCCCCATGAGGCAGACCCTTCTGGAAAAGCTTGGGAGAACAGCCCCTGGGCTCCATCTGGGATGAGGGTTGTTCCTGCCACAGTGCAGCAGGCAGACCTCAGGCCTTTGCCCCCTGCCCAGCCCCGCCTGCTCGGACTCTTCCTCAGGGCCCCCCTCCATGGCTGGGCTGATTGTGGGGAACGTGCACAATCGGTGGGGAAGGGCGTGGGGCCTCGAGGCAAACGGCCCGTG